TTTGATCAATAAATATGAGAGATGCCCTCTCAAAAAAAAAAATAGTAAATTAAGCATACATTGCTTTGTATAGGTTTTTTATAGCTTACAGTGTGTAGCTTTCTTATGTATTACCTCATTTAGACAAACCATTTCATCTAATGAAATGAAAAAATGTAATGCTTGAAAAAAACATTTCCATTTGGTTACTTTGCTAGTACAAAGTAGAATAAAATGGAAATTGTGTAAGGCACTAGAAGGATTCTTCTGAAGAGTCATTTTGTCCTAGAAATACTTGGTATGTAAAGCAGAAACCATAATACCACACCTTCTGAAGACCACTATGTGTTAGCAGGGACTGCATTTTGAGAATAGGTAAGGAAACTCACTAAACTCCTAAGTTAAATTTTGGGGGGCTGTCTGGGCTCCTTAATCTGAGGTTCAGTATCATCCATCATCTGGAGCTGTGCCAAGTGAGCATTCTTGTCATGATGACTCAGCTGCTAGGTAAAGAGTGCTGGGGAGTAGAAACTAACCCAGTCTTAGTTCTGGTGGCTCTGAAGTACCACCTCAAGAGTCTAAGGGGAGTTTTGAAAACTACTCTGAGATCAACAGTATAATAATATGGAAACCAAAGGAGGGAATATACTGTTCAAGTTCGTGTATTTTAGATGGAAAACTAGCCATAGTCATTGTCTTAACCTTCTAGAGTGACTAAGAATTATCATCATGAAATGAGACTGGATTTTGTTCAGGGTCAACTGACACTTCCTTTAAAAAAGTGGATTCTTTCCTGGAATGCCTACAGGCCCACGGGAGACATGAGTTTGCTCATTCAAGACCCCCTACTTTACTTTCACTTTCCTGGTGGCTAAATCAGCACTATGGGGCTTGCTTTTGAACTGGGGTGAGAACACTAGTCAAGGTTTATGATGGTGAATTTTATGTGTCAGTTTGGGCTCTCAGTATCCAGATATCTGGTTAAACATTATTTCTGGGTGAGTCTGTAAGGGTGTTTCCAGAAGAGATTAGCATTTGAATTCATGTTCTAAATAAAACGGATGGCCTTCCTAGTGTGGGTGGGCACCATCCAATCCATTGAAGGCCTAAATAAAACAAAAAGGTGGAGGAAGGTTGAATTCACTCTGCCTGTTAAGCTGGGAGATTGATCAGCCCTTTGTACTCCTGGTTTTCAGGCCTTCAGACCTGGACTAGACTCTATATTGTTGGTCCACAGGCCTTTGAACTATACCATCTGCTTTCTGGGTCTTCAGCTTGCATATAGTAGACTGTAGGACCACTCAGTCTCCATAATTGCATGAAATCCATATCTGTATGTATATAGATACATAGATATGTGTCTATATATAGCCTATTGATTCTGTTTCTCTGGAAAACCCTGACAATGTTGGTTATAGGCTGCTGTTAATTAGAGACATATGAAAGGAAATGGTGATAGATACTGAAGAGGAAAATAGGAATTTCTGGCTATAACATATATAATGTTACAGAATGTAGCTCCAAGAGGAGGACTTCCCTGTCTAGAGCAAGTTCTCTATGAATTCAGTGAGACTGAAGAAAGGCAAGGGCAAAAAAGTTGGGGGGAAAGGGGGATACCACATTTATTCTTACTGGTCACAGGCAGCTTGGTACATGGAGCTGGCCTGAATGTGCTTCCTGCCCTCCAAGCTCTCTGTTCCCACACTCAGGCTTGATTCTCTAGGAGCACTGGGGCTGTACAGCTCTCTGTGCTCTTCCCACGGCTGCCCACCCCCTGCTCCTATGCTCCAGGAGCAACTCTGTGGGCCAGTCCCTGGTGACTGGTGGACGCCTGACCAATTATGTACCAGGAACACAGGCAGAGGACAGAATGGGTGTTTCCTCTCTACCCCTTCCATGGGCAGGTGCTCCTGTGACTGACATCCCATAAATGTGCATATATGCTCTTATTATATACACAATGGGCACTATTAAGGCCAGGCAGGCATCCTAGTTAGAAAGCTCCATTTTCCCCACATGGAAGTAGAGGCTTTGGAAGTGATGAAGGAATTCTGATTGATATATATTAAAAAAAAAGAATTTGTCATAAAGAATTATATGGTACAAACGCCCATGTCACTATAGTGGTATGTTTGACTCCTCATAATAAGGTATTTGGTAATGTGGATAATTGTCAGACTCCTCATAATAAGGGATTTGGTGATGTGGATAATTGTCAGAATATATATACGGCTTCTGGCTGTACATAAATAGGAAAGAAAAATGAACTCTACCTATATGTAAGACTTGGAAGATTTTGCATCAAGTCATGTGGTAAGGGTACCATGGGATGCATTTTGGAACATCAGGCCTAGCTGGATTCAAACACTACCAGAGCAATTTTTAATGACGATTAAATGTAGAAACTAAGACTCCACCAAAGATCTCAGAGGTGCTTGAATCATGTTTCTTAGATATCTAATTTGGGTGAAGGAGAAGCAGGATGAGATAGTGAATATCTTCAGATAACAATTCTAACCAGCCTTGTTGGGAAGGGAGTCATCAGTTCAGACTTGAGCTGTCATTGTGTTCAGAGGTTCCAGGCAATGGAAATAGACACATTCCCACCCTTTGGTCAAAATGCTGCCTAAGCAGCTTTGGGCTTCAATTTGCTTCAGCAGAGAACATGTGGGAAGGGGTGACTACAACCAAAACAGAAGCCTAGCAAGCCTTAGACTATATGGGAAAGGTTCTGAGAAAACAGGACTGCCTGAGTGGTTGGGGTAGGGCCGTGGGAGTGGGTGGAGCAGAAATACCCAATTGTTACTGATGTGGTGAGGCAGTTGGGGACAGGCTACTCATGTCCTGGTACTCTGTAAAGCATGGTGGTTAATAAGGTTCATTGATTGCAACACACAGCCAGAGGAGAACAGGGCACCTGATTACCAACCGACCAGACTAACATGAAAAGAAACTGGAGTGCTGATAGGAGGGGGAAATTGATTCAAGGTAATGAAAAAGCAACAAGTAGAAAACTGGAGATGAGAGGAGCTTCAGTGATTGATCCTTGTGAGTGGAAAGCTTGACGGTCATATTTGCTATGTCTTTCTCCTTAACAGTGTTGACCCTGAAACAGTTGGGAAGCCCATCTAATGATAATGTCCTCTCAGGGCATGGGACAGACAAGAGACCTGGTTCTGAGGATATGGAGAGTGGCAGAAGATCCTTCCTGGGAATTTGCCCACTTGGGGATTTTGCTGTTTCAATAAGAATGCAAAACAGAACTGTAAAATTGAGAGCCCCCTAGTATTGTTTTTCCATCAGTCTTCATCCCCAAAACGGCTCATTCATACATTCAATTTTGGTTTTTTTTTTGAGAGGGCGTCTCATATTTATTGATCAAATGGTTGTTAACAACAATAAAATTCTGTATAGGGGACTCAATGCACAATCATTAATCAACCCAAAGCCTAATTCTCAACAGTCTCCAATCTTCTGAAGCATAACGAACAAGTTCTTACTTGGTGAACAAGTTCTTACATAGTGAATAAGTTCTTACATGGTGAACAGTACAAGGGTAGTCATATCACAGAAATTTTCAGTTTTGATCACACATCATGAACTATAAACAATCAAGTCAGATGGTTATTCATTTGATTTTTATACTTGATTTATATGTGAATCCCACATTTCTCTCATTTTTTTTTTTTAATGCTGAAGTGGTTGGTAGATGCAAGATAAAGGTAGAAAACATAATTTAGTGCTGTAAGAGGGCAAATGTAGATGATCAGGTGTGTGCCTATAGACTAAGTATTAATCCAAGCTAGACAAGGGCAACAAAACATCCACGGATGCAGAAGATTTCTCTCAAAACAAGGGGGATGAGGTTCTAAGCCTCACCTCTGTTGATTCCCAATTTCTCACCTGATGGCCCCCCTGCTACTGTGCCTGTCTTAGGTTGTTCCTCTCTTGAGGAATCTTACCCGTCTCTGGCTAACCAGCCGTCTTCCGGGGCCATACAGGGAAATACATTCAGTTTTTTATGACACATAGTAGCCTTTCTTTATTCTCTTCTTCACCATCAGCAAACCTTATTAATTACACCTCTATAACTCTTGAATCCAACAATTTTTTCCATCTTCACTGCTAGCTTCCTAGTCAGTGCAAGTCCATCATTACCTTTGAACCTGGAGTACCTCAGTAATCGAATTTGTATTTTCCGAGGCTTGCTCTTCTAAACTCCATTTTCTACACAGCAGCCAGCATGATTTCAAAAACTTAAGTTACCTGTTAAGATTGTGAACTAGCAAGGCCTGTTGGCTTCTTTTCTAAAATCAGCTCTAGAGAATGGAAGCAACAGAAGCATAAAGCTGAGAAATCAACAGTAAGCACTATGAGAAACTCCTGGGGAGAATGAAAGCTTTAGTTAACTGTGTGTGTGTGTGTCGCACGCACTGTACTCACTAGTACTAGTAGCTGTCGCCATGGTGGAGGATTGGAGGACGAGACAGTGGGTTGAAAGTTTTGAAGTTCTAATTTACCTCCATTAAATAATAGCCCAGATTCCCTGTGTCACCAGAATAACAACAGGGGAGTACAAAAGCCCTGTTGGGGTGAATATAGGCTCTAGCAGCCCTCAACATTCAGTTCTCCCACCCCTACCCCATCTTTTTAGGACAGGGAATCAAAAACTAAGAATACCTCCTACACTGGGGTTTCTTTTTAAGAATTTATAGGTAAATCCCTGACCAGAAGAGTGGCCTAATAAAGTGGCAGCCAAAGGAACTTTGGTGTCTGAGGCTTTTCACACTGGAGCTTATTCTCTCTTTAAATTCACTGGGAGGGACACTGGGACTTGCCTTCAGCCCCTCCTCAATACATATTAACACAATAACTAGTACCAGGAGAATGTGAGATTATAAACCAAGATAATTAGACATATAAGAGGACAATAACTGAAAGAAAAACAAATTGATCTATATGCTTAATGCAATTCCCAGCCATTTCCCAGCAAGATAATTTAGGTATAGACAAGATCATTTAAAAATTCATATGGAAAAGAAAAGGAACTGTAATAGTTAAAATAATCTCAAAAAAGCAAAGTAAAAGGAGTTACTCTTTCTGACTTAAGGACTTACATAGCTAAGGTGATCAAAACACTGTGGAATTAGCAGAGGGATAAATACATAGATCAATGGAACAGAACAGAGAATACAGAAAGAGACTCACACAAATTTTCAAATTTCAGTGCCCAACTGATTTTTGACAAGGGTGCAAAAAATTAAATGGAGGAAAGATAGCCTTTTTAACAAATGGTGCTGGAGCAACTAAATATCTACAGGCCTGAAAATTAAATTTTACCTGAATCTCAAACCTTACATATAAATTAACTCAAATTTAATAAAAGCTTTAATGTAAAATGTGAAACTAAAACCTTTAGTAAAAAACATAAGACAAGCTCTTTGGTTAGACTCGGGCAGAGTTCTTAGACTTTACGACAGAAGCATGTCCCATAGAAGGAAGAATCAATAAATTGTACTTCAAAATTGTAAATGTTTGCAAAAGATCTTGTGAAGAGGATCTTGTTAAGACAAGTTACAGAATGGGAGAAAATAAATGTCTACAACATATTCAACACAGGCCCGATATCTAGAATATATAAAGAACTCTCAAAATTCAACAGTAGAAAACAACAATCCGTTTGGAAAATGGCAAAAGATACGAACAAACATTTCACCAAAAAGGATATACAGATGACAAATAAGCAAATGAAAATAAGTTTAACATCATTAACCATTAGAGAATGCAAATTAGAACCATCATGAGCTATCGTTGCAGTCCTATCTGAAGTCTAAATAAACAGTGACACCACCAAATGTTGGCAAGGATGTGGAGAAACTGGATCCCTCATTCACTCATTGCTGGTAAGAAGGTTAGATGGTACAGCCATCTGGAAAACGTTTGGCAGTTTCTTTAAAAAACTAAACATGCAATTATCACATGACTCAGCAATTGCACTTGACACTTTAATCCCAGAGAGAGATGAAGACTGTGTTCACACAAAAACCTGTAAATGAATGTTTATAACAGCTTTATTCATACTAGCCCCAAATTGGAAACAATCCAGATGTCCTTAAGTGGGTGAACTGTTAAACTGTGGTATGTCCATACCGTGGAATACTACACACTTAGCAATAAAAAGGAATTAAATACTTATTAATTCATACAATCTGGACTGATCTGCAGAGGATTTTCTACCAAGAAAAGCCATTCATAATGTTATACCGTATGATTCATTTCTGTAACATTCTAGAAATAAAAGGAAAGATAAAACTCATTATTTAAAATTAATACAGTCTATTTTGAAAAACAGCAGAGTAAACAAAACTAAAATGAAGCTTTAGCAGTGTTGCTGGACACAAACAGCACATGCATTAAGAGAATCTGCCATCTTAAAAGAATCTGGAATCTCAGCCTTAGACCACAAAGGTGTCCTCCTCCATGAGGAATTTTTATGTAGCTGTTTAAGAAATAAAAAGTTCTCGCTAATAGTGACTGCAAGGTGGGGGGTTGGAGAGGACTTGATAATGTGGGTGAATGCTGAAACCACAATGTTGTTCATGTGAAACTTTCATAAGATTGTATATCAATGATACTTTAAAAAAATAAAGGTTCTCAATCTTGTTAGATTTATTTACTCTACTGCCTTTCTTAACTAACCATGGGCTCTTTAAGGGCAGGACATTTTCAGACAAGGAGGGTTGATGAGTTTCCAGCTGACTGATATTGCTTGAAGAAATGGAGGGGTAAAGGAACTCAAAACCCTAGGAGGTGAGAAGGCAGGGAGTGAGGGTATGGGTGAGGTAGGAGGGATAGAGGCATGGTCAGAAATGGGCCACTTGGGGGGCGGGGAGTTGAGCCCAGACCTTCTCTATTTTGTGGTAAAAGGCTGTATGTGAAGCTTCATAAGAAAGTCCTGAGCATAGTGGAGCCCAAAGTTTTCAACTTTTTACTTTGAAAAAAGCTGTTGAAAAAGTTCTGAACATGAAGTATGGAATATGAGTTGGGAACAGGCATGAGAGGATCCTTGTCATCAAAGAAACTACTCCAGGTTGGTTGGTTTGTTTTAAGTAAAGAAAGGACTTAATGAATAAATACATACCTAAAAGTTGTGTGTTATGTCTTTTTAAATGGACCAGATGTTTTACCTTAGTCTCATCATTATTAATGGTGGCATGGTACAGGTACATTCCATTAGAATAATATTTCGGAGTTGTTTTCCAGCAACTGTGTTTTACTTATTTCAAACAGAGAAAAAGGACTTAACATAGGGAATTTAAGGTTTTACAAAATCACTGGAAAGTTTGAAGGAGCAGGCTGAAAGTCCAAGAATGACTCCTAGAAAACTCCAGAACTGGCAGAAATGGTGTCCAAAAACTCACCACCATAGCTGTAATCCAGATCCCAGGAGTACAGGATCTAAGCTGCCACACCTGCTGTCGCTGCTTCTTAGATCTTGGAAGAAAGAGCCTGCTGCTTGTGCCACTGCCACTCTGTCACGTCATTCTCAAGGTTGAAGGACCACTGGCAACTCTACAACCCTACCTGCCCATGGAACACTGCCAAAAGCAGCAGGAAAAACAGCTTCTGTTTCTCTTGCATACAAATCTCTTGCAAGTGCATCTGATTTGCAGAATCTATTTTGCATGCAGAACTCTAGTTTTCAGTTTGTAGCTTTCCAGCCTCTGCAATACAGAAAAGAATAGTCAGGGCCAGCCACATAAATTTGCAGGGCTCAGTGCAAAATTAAAATGCAGATCCCTTTGTTCAAAACAAGGGAAAAAAGTGCCATTAAAGGTAACAAAATATAAAGATTTGCATTTTCTTCTAGGGTCTCCTTTTTGATTTGTCATGCTGTTTTTATTTTTAATTTAATATTAAATAAAAATTAAAACAGTAAATTATTAGCCAGAATTTTACATTTATCTTTATATTGTACAGTGCCAGTTTTAATGCAAATGTAAGAGTGTTGAACTTCATGTGAAATCACCAAAATTATACAATTCCACTTTGAAGCTCACACATGCATATGTCTTTCATTCTTATATGGATATAGTGGAAGTGCTGTAAAAAGTAACTCAACAGGTTTTATTTCATTTCTTGATGTGCACACATTCTACCAACATTCTCTCCCTTTGACTTACTGATGAACAAGGAAGGATTGAAAGGAAAAGGAACCTTCTTTTTTCCCTATTTATTCCTTTCCTTCTATGTCATCATTTTCAGCAAGTGACTGGTTACTCCAAGGAAGTCCCATAAATAAGAATGTGATGGGGTTCCTTGGTCGTTTGTGTTTCTTAGAAAGCCATTGCCTTCTTTTGCCATTAGAAGCATATTCTGGTTTGAATGAAAAGCATACCCTGTGAGGATAATCAGCACCCCCACTTATGCAGTTGTAGACATACCATGCCTACCTTGTACTGGCTTTGAGTTTGGCTAATCTCCCAGGCATCACTGGTCCACCAGAATTCTCTGCTCATGGAGTATTGCAAACACTGTAGGGGCAGTTCCATGAAGCAGCAAGGAACAACAGATGTGCATACTGCCCATACAGCCTCTGCTGATGTGCATGCTCCTTTGTCCCATCAGACTTCACTTACAAAGTAAACACAAATTCAAAGATAAAATTATTAAAAATTTTATGACAGTCACAGCAGGGCATAAAACAAAGTGTGTGGCCCTTCTGAATACAGCTCTGTGCATAGGTGGGATGCCCATGAAGCTGCCCCTGGGAATAATAGAAGGAAATAGGCATGGATGTTGACTGCCAACTCCTATATCCAGTATAGAGCTAAACAGATGAGTTGGGATGGAAGGTGAGGGAGAAGCAGAGGAAAAGAAGCCATGTGTGTGAGAGGGAGAGCACAACTGGTGTTGACTTTCTAGTTCTGTGGAGCCAAGTTAATACTTCTTGCATCCTGCTGTTTAACAGCATCATGTGAGCAATGCAGAGAAAAATGTTAGCCCACTGTTAGCTTTTTGTTTATTGTGATTTTGGAGGAACCAGAAAAAGGTGCCCCTTTCTTTGAATACTTTATTGCCATCTGTTGGAAAACCATTTGAATGATTATATCAATTAATGGTGACTATAATGAATGATGTCTCTTGGGCAATGCTCAATCTGTATAAATGTGAGTGGCAACCCTGTCTGACCAGAGGCACAAATGCTGACAACTCACAACGTGAGCCTGGCAAACTTAGTGGGCAGCAGGCAGGGAGGTGAGATGGTTGGTCAAGGCGTGACACAGGCATGCTTCCGAATCCCTGTCTCCAAGGTGTTGAGTTGAGAGTCAAAACCAGTAGCTCCTCACGTTATATTGCCTTGCCCTGGCAGCCCGTGAAAATTTCTGTGGTGGAGGCTTTTGGCCAGTTCCAACATTTGACAAAGCCTAGTGGATGGAATAATATTTTTATCTAGGAGAAGCCTATACAGGCTAAAAATATCCTTTCTTTTTGGCTTTTGGCTGGAATTATATTCTTTGTGGCCCACTTACCTTGTGCAAAAATTAAAAGGTCTGAACATAGGATCAATATATATTTTATTAACAAAAGATGGGAAAACTGATTGTAAATGCAGTTTGTTTCAGAGACATTTTTCTAATTATAGGGTCCTGGGGTAGAAAAGCAATGAAAGGACTCTCAAAGATGCAGTTGTTGGAAACCCTGCTCATGGTGAAGGTAAGAAGTGGGTAAGGCAACACTCGAGAGAGTGAGGGACCTGCCAGAGGCCATAACATCTGAGTAAACTGCAGTCAGGATTGTAACTTGGGTGTCCTGGCTCCTGAGCCAGGCCCTTCTCAGTCCCCCTGAGTGGTCATCTGCTGCTTTTTTCCTCCTCCTCCTGCTCTTCTTCCTGAAATTTCATCAACTTTTATTCAGACTCATAGAAAAAACCCAAACCAGTTCATTAACATTTGCCAAAAGATAATTGGATATTGCAAGCATTGCATTTGATAACAGTTATTAATAATTCTTCTATAAACTTCACACCAGTGACCCAAAATACCATCTCTTCTTTTTCCAGTGAATCCATTAAATTGTACTGTTAAAACAGAGCATCTCCCGATGTAGGAATAAAGACAATATGTTCTCCAAATACAACCTAGGACATAATGCTCTGAAATTTAGAAATTCAGTGTATTTTGATTACAGTTAATTTTTTATGTGTTAAAATTCTTGTGCTGGTTTGATTCTAATTCATTATTATAAGTTTAATTCGATAAATCAACCATTAATTTTTCTTTATGTAATAATTTCTGTATATTTTTTTTTTCTGTCATACTAAGGGCAAATTGATATAACCTAGAAAACTGACAGTATAACTCTATGCTTTTGTTTATAGTCATCTGGAAAAAAATATTACAATATCCAATTACTAATTTCATAGATTTTTTCCCCCATCTTTTTATGAAGGTATCACACACAGTAAAATTTATTCTTATTAGTGTACTGTTCTGTAATTTTGGCAAATGAGCAATTGTGTAACCACCACCACAATCAAGATACATAATTTCATCACACACACACACACCCTGCCCCCCAGAATATCTTTGAGAGCTCAACTACAGCTAAATATATCTTCCGTTTGGGATCTGGTCCAAGGGCCTTCCACTTGCCCTCACTAGACTATTGGCCTTTCCCGGGAAGCTCTTGGCCCTGAAGTTGATGGGAATAGTGAGGCCACAGTGTTCGCAGTCTAAGAGTCAGGGCTGGAGGCAGTACATTAGGTCATTCACCCAGACCTCAAAAGGCTCCTGACCTAAGGGGAGAGAGGTATGGGGAGGACAGAAGGGACCACCAGTAAGTCATTCTTGGGTGTGTCAAGAGACAAAGGTACCCCTCTGTTTACCTGGTCTGGCTACCCTCTCTTGGCCTCCTCAGATACACACAACACACACAGAGACAATTATTTACACGTGCAAATGCACAAACATCTAATATATATGAGCACATATACATGATCAACCCTACATATAAATGCTCACATACAGACAAGTCTGTAGATATGCACATGCATGTGCTCATGCATTACTTTTGAGAAAGTTGCATCATTTGTGGCCATTATCTGCAACTTTTCCTCCTCTTGCTCAACTTCATACTTCCCCATGCCACAGGTCATCAGATGGCTGCTTGATGCTGACTCTTCTTTGGGGCTTCTTTATCACTGTGAGTTCTGGTGGCTGAAGGGTGATATTTGATTATTAACCAATTTAGGGAGCTTGTGAGATAGGAGGATCCTGATACTGGGTATGAACGAGGTACTGGGAGCCGGTGGGAGAGTAGGGACCAGGAAAGCAAAGTGTGCATAACTCCTTCTGTAGAGATGGATCACTAAACAGAGGGACCTGGCTGCCCAAGATGTCTGTGGACATATCAGTCTATATGTCTAGCTGTATCTATGTCTTAAGAAAGCCTGTATTATGAAGCTTATGTTTTTCTGAATGATCAGTGGGATTCATTTCATTTTGCATATGGTGAACTGTTCATTGAGCATTAGAGAGGAAGGGTTTTAGGCACGTATTGGGTCATCAGCTGAACTTCCTTGAATGCTGTACTGTGAGCTGGGGAGCGGGCAGGTTCTGCATGGGTGGAGTCAGGTTGATCAGGGTCTAGCTGGAGGAAGTGCTGCTGCTAGTATAGGATATGGAGTATCTCTGGAAGGATAAATAAGGCCCTGCTAACACTGATTGCTTTGGGGAAGGACACATGAGTGTCTGGATCAAGCCCCTGTGTGATGAGATGGCATGGGCTCTAGGAGTTCCCAGTGGAGGACCCTTAGATGAGGTAGGGCATGAGCTCAGCACTGAAGGGTGTCAACAGGTGAAGGAGAAGAATTAATCCAGCCTTGGTCCTATCCTCTCTTCAGAGGCTGTGTGTAGAGTCAAGATAAGAATGTACAGCTGGGAAGTTAGGGGGCTGTCCCAGCCTCATTGCCTATATAGTATACCATGCGAAGTGAGGGGCCTCACATCCACTTAATACAGTGTCCCACCACTGTTTTTCTCTGTAGCTCCCGGGCAGGCCTAGTTTAGAAGGAGAAAGTGGGGAAACCCCTGCCTTCTGAGTTTTTTACAGGAAGAAGGACATTGGTCCAGGGAGTTTTGGACCCATGCAGCTTTTTCTTTCAGAGGTGCAGGTCTAAATTGGGGCAGCAAGGCCCCAGTCTAAGGCTTGCACAGCTAAGGCTGTTATCAGGCTCAAGTGGGGTCAGGGAGGGTGATTTGTACTTTGTTTGCTGTCACAAATCAGATAAAAATGGGTGGGAAGGGAGGTGCAGAGGAGGAGCTATAGATGAGTGGATCACCTCGGGCTTTCCAAAAACTGAGATGAGGGTGAGTTATGGACACTCTGGTCCCAAGCAGGTGGCTGCTTGGAAATAGCAAGCATAAAGGTTTGACTGGAGAGAGATGGTGTGAAGGGAGGACCTTGGAAGAATAAAAGTACAGGTGAGTTGAGCCTAGATCATAGAGAGCCTCAGCAGTCATACTTGAAAGAGTTTGCACCCACAAGGATTTGGCCTGGCAATTTTAGCATGATAAGGGCTGTGTGGCTGGCACAGTCACTTTGTGTTAGTAGAGGAGACTGCAGGAAAGGAGTAGTATTTTTAAAGGTTTAATGTCGTTTATTTTTAAACTAGATAATGCATTCTCATGGTTCAAAACCCAAAAAGTACAAAACCGTATACAATGAAACATTTCCCTTTAATTCCTGATTCCAGCCATTCAGTGCCTTCCCTAGAATCAATTAAATTTAATGTCTTGTTTATTCATCCAAAAATAGTATATGCATATACAAGAAAGAAAGAAGCACTCGTTTCTTTTATTTTCTCTTTTTATCAAAGATGGTGACACTTGGGTTTTCTTTTTTTTACCTGTATCATCTCTCTTAATACACACTGCAAACATAGGTAGCAGGTAACAATATTATCTCCATTTTACAGAAGAGGAAATTGAGGCACAGAGAGTTTAAGGAATTTACCTAAATTTACAGATTTTGTAAGTGGTAAAGTTAAGATTTGAACCTGGGGAGTCTGATTTCAGAGACCCATGCTGTTCCAGGAATATGTCATAATACCAATATTTGTTGCATGAAAAATTCCAACAGTAAAATGTATAAATCAGGAAACTGATCCTTTTAACATTAGCTGAGAAGTACTATCTTAGCATACATTTCTGTAATTTCGTTTCTACTTTATAAAATTTTCAGTTCCATTCAGAGCTATCTTTCAATAAGTGAGTTTATTCTTTTCTACATTTAAAAACAGTTACCTCTGATTCGTATACTTAGTTCAGATCTACCTCTTCATTTTTAAAAGCTAGTTTCCAGGAAATAAGTTCAGAACAGCCAAAGAATGATGAGTTACCTTAAAATTCCATTTTTTTTCAATTGTGCTTTTCTTTTTCTCAATTTAAAAAAATTGTGGCAAATATACATAAAATTTACCATTATAACCATATATAAGGGTATAGTTCCAAGGCATTAAGTACATTCATAATATTGTGCAACCGTCACCAACATCCAACTCTAGAACCCTTTTCATATTGAAACAGAAAGTCTATACCAATTAAACAATTCCTCATTTCTCTCTCCCCCAAGCCCTTGACAACCACCATTCTACTTTCTGTCTTTGTGATTTTGACTGTTCTAGGGCCCCATATAAGTGGAATCATACAGTATTTGTATTTTTCTGACTGGCTTATTTCAATTAGCATAATGTCCTTAAGGTTCACCCATGTTGTAGCATGTCTCAATTTCCTTTCTTTTTAAGGCTGAATAATATTCCATTGTACATATATACTACATTTTGCTTATCCATTCATTTATTGATGGATACTTGAGTTACTTCCACATTTTAGCTATTACATACACTGTTTTGCACCTTGCTTTTTACATTAACAATATATTTTTGGGTATTTTTCCACATTACTACACAATAGGTATCCTTTTTCTGTCTTCTTTTTTTGCAGATGTACAATATTGCAATGTTTGCACAAACTGTAGTTTATTTGATCTGTACCCTATAGGTGGATATTTGAATTGTTTCTAGTATATTTGATGTTACATACAATACTACAATACAAATATGTATAATTTTTCAGTTAGTTTTGATCTGAGATATGCCAATCATTTCATTCAAGCTTTCAAAGTAGAGTTTGGCTCTGCTCCTGGCTGATCTATTGTGACCATATCCTTCCTCCCCTTTACTTTCGCATTGCTCTTTCAGAGTACAGATTTGCAAAGTATAGGCCTGATCTTCCTATATTCTGGTGTCCCCTCAAGCTGATATTCTTAAAATGTTTTGCAAATATATATGAAGCAAAGGGAAATAAGTTGATTAATAAAAATTGCATATTTTTTCTTTATATTAAATGTAAGGGATTTATTACATGCATTGTATATATCATTGTATTTTATACAATATGAATTTGTTTTTGCTTCCCAGTTTTATGTATTGATATCCAGCAAACTCACTAAAGGTAGAGGTGACTTGTAAGATAAAGTTAAAAAGTATTTTTTGAAACATGTTTAGTGATTTTCTGGATTTCATGTAAACAGAATGTTTTATACTTCGAGTACCTTGTTCTTTTTTCAGTTGCTTTTTATAATTTTCTGAACCAGACAATTTTTTTGGTATAATTAATCTACAATTACATGAGGAACATTATGTTTACTAGACTCCCCCCATTACCAAGTCCCCACCACAAACCCCATTACAGTCACTGTCCATCAACGTAGTAAGATATTGTAGAATCACTACTTATCTTCTCTGTGTTGCACAGCCCTCCCTGTGCCCCGCCACGTTATACATGCTATTCGTAATGCCCCCTTTCTTTCCCCCCTACCTTATCCCTCCCTTCCCACCCATCCTCCCCAATCCCTTTCTTTTTGATAACTGTTAGTCCATTCTTAGTGAACTAGACAATTTTAAAGGGCTTCAAATTTAGTACTGTGCTATCCTTATTGTTATAAATTTCTGAACTAATAGAATTTTCTAATGGGTATGATGTGGAGTGTGTGTATATGTGGTAGGTGGGAAGAGAGACAGAGAGAGAGAGGGAGAAATCAAGAATGAGTGTAAGGTTTTGCATGAGCTGAAAGAATGGGGGTGCCATTTACTGAGATGGGGAGGAGGGAAGGGACAGCATTATGGGGGCAAATCAGGAATTTTATTTGGAATATGCTAACTTTTGAGATGCCTCTCAGACCTCTACATTGAGATGATAAGGAGTCAATTGGATATATAAATCCTGAGTTCAGGGGCAAGTTCTAGACAGAGTTAATACATAGAGTACTTAAAACAGTGTCTTGCATACCCTTTGAACTAAGTCAGATCATGACACTCCTTGTTCACAACTCTGCAGTGACTTCATTTTCCTCAAAGGTAAACTCTTTACAGTGCACCTTCATGGCTCTCTATGGCCTGATTTCCCCCACTGCCAGCATCTGCTTTGGTGATAGTAATGCTAGCTGCTGTAACAAATAAACCCTGCAGTACCAGCAGCTTAACATAATTGAAATAAATAAATTTCTTGTTCACAAAACAGTCAAGTGTGGGTGTTCAAAGTCATCTGGAGCCTTTCCTCCATGTGCTTGATTCAGGGATCCAGGCTCCTGTCTTCTGTTTTGCCATGTCTTAGAACTTCAGATTCTCCTACTTCTAGCTGGTGGAAGGCAAAAAAGAGAAAAGGGAGACGCCTCATTTACTTCTTAAATACCCAGACCTAGCAGTGATACACGTAAACTCCTGCACATGTTCCATTGGTGCGAACCAGTCACATGAGCACATCTGCCTGCAAGTGGGGCAGGGAAATGTCCCTGCCTAGGTAGCTGCTTCCTAAGGCCCACACTCCACACACTGTGGAGGGGCAAACGTGATCTTCTGGTGAACTGAAAGCCAACTCCCTCACACCTTTTACTATCTTTTACCACTCCTCCCACCCCCAACCCTTTCCAGTCACCCTAGCCTTCTTATCTCTCCTTGAACACTCCAGGCACACTTCTGTCTCATGCCCTTCCCTGGAATTATCTTCCCTGAGGTGTCTATTTGCTCTTCTCATGTCCTTCCTGCTGAAATGGGTGCCCCAGGATGCCACTTATTAAGAGTATATTATGTCCCAGATATTTCAAGTTCCTTTTTTCATTAATTTTTAAAATTATGAATCTTCAAAGCAATCTTGTGCAGGGTAACAGTGATTATGCTCATACCAGAGAGGTTAACTGATGTGCCTCAGCTCACACAGCTAGTAAGAGTAGGAGTAAGGATTTAAATAATGAATGTAAAGAAGAGCATCCAGCTCTGTTTTTTTTCTCTGACTCTCAAAGAAGCAATCATTCTGCCAAACATATTTCCTACTGGGAAGGAGATCACTTTACAGTTGAGTATTCTGGGCCTCTGAGTAGTTACATTTCCCAGGGCAAATTAATACAGTTAGGCTTTTGTTTGTAACTGTTTTATGAGTTGAGTTAGTGTGAGAGGTCTCCCAGCGCCTGATCACCTTGGACACACTGGATGAAAAGTCTCTGGACTTTCAAACTGAGGACATTTAAGACTTTTTCAAGTCTCTTCTTCCACATCACCCCCAAAGTGATCATTCTAAGATGTGGGTCAGATCCTGTCACTCCCTCAGCTTAAATTCCTTTACAGGATAGGTTCTTTAGCCTGGCATTTGGGGCCTTTCTTGTTCTGTCCCTCTCTTCCTTCCCCGGTTTCATCCCCTTAGAAACAAACTACTTGCTGTTGCCTGAATGTATCATTTAAATCTGTCACTCCTTGTTGTCCCACATACTTCTTGACACATCTTCTTTTCCTACCCCTTTTATTTAAGAAATGCCTTTTGATCCTTTAGTTCTCAGGTCAGATTGTACCTCATTCTAAAGCCTTCCCCAACCATCTCCCAACTTGGATGCTCTGTAATTATTTAGCTCTCTGAGACTCCTCTATTGTCTCTGTGTCACCACCATATAGCATAGAGTGGGGCATCACCCTGAAAAATCTTTGTAAAGCTACTTTCTCCTCCCTGCTTTTATCCCACAAGTTCAGGAAGGTTATATACAGGGAGGAGCAGATGCCATGGTTCTGAGTGACGCTTGCTGTGACCTCCAGGCCACCCTCTCCCAGGGAACCAATACTTGGGAGAAGTACCCAGGAGAGAATCCAGGAGAGATCCAGGTTCCACCCCTGGGGAAGCCTGTTGCTTTCCAGGGACTTTAGCAGCAGCCTGTCAAGCAAACCTGGAGCTTACCTCTTGCTGGAATAATAATAATTTACAATATTTATGGAGTGCCTTTTATGTTCCATGCACTATTCTAACTGCTTTATTTGTATGCAATCATCACAAAAACCATGACTGCTGGTACCTAGAGATTGCCCAAGGTCACACAATAAATGACAAAAGTCAGGATTCAAATCTGAGCTAGTAACCAGTATACTATATTACCTTTCTGGCTTCTGATCTACAGTTTCCTGCTTACCTTTTGTGGGAAACCAAATAAGAGGACCCCAAGACAAGGACCAGGAGGCATTTTTCTCTCCTCCTCATTCCTTCTTTCTCTCAGGAGGACAGGCTCAGGTATGGATCTGCGAATTCTCAGAAGTAGAAGGGGAGCCCCAAGTGGCAGGGAGTTCTGGAGGCTGCAGGAGAGAAAAGAATATAGTCTGGTGCATATGGGAAAAGGCCTGGCTGTGGTGAGGGAGCAGGGAGCTGACCACGAGCCAGTATTCTAGTTAAGGCTTTGTCTGTTCGACTCCACGTAAGTTCGGCTGACGTCTTTGCTTCTTTCTGGCCTTATTTTCCCCATTTATAAAACAAGGGTAAATGTAGGACGAATGAACCACCTCCCCCAAAAGAGGGGGCATTTCCCTTCAGCTTTATTGGGGAGAGGACTGGACACAGATGCCAGGGAACGGGGTCGGGGACGGTGAGGATGGAGAGGTGGGAGGAGAAGGCGCCTTTGTCTAGATTGATAGCCTAGAAATGGGATGAGGTGGGCCACCAAACTCAGTCCTGCGACCCTAGCCCTGTGACAGGGCCGGGCTACGGAGCTCTCCAGACCCCCACAGTAGGGAGGAGGAGGCAGAGCAAGAGCCCGGGTGCCGGCTCTGGAAGATGCGCGCACTCATCCCGTACCCACTTAGCGGGAGTCGCGGCCCCGAGGGGGTGGCGGTAGTGGGCCAGACCGTCGCCGGCCGCGCTGCACTGACCGCTTGGGAAGCTGCGGCCCGCGGGGCCCGAAGAGCATCACGTCATCCTCTCCGCCGGGCGCCCGCCCCCTCCCAGACGGCGCCTGCGCAGGCGCGGCGGGAGGGGCCGCGGAGGGGGCCCTCCTCGGCGCTCCCCGCCCTACTTCAGGCTCGCTCCGGCCGCGGCGCTCTCGGCTGGCGGCGGCAGCAGCGGCGGCGGCGCGGAGGGGAAGGCGTCCAGGATGCGGCGCGGGGCGGCCCGGTGCCCTCCTGCCCCGACACGGCAGCCGCGGCGGCCGCAGGGACCGGGCCAGGGCCGGGGGCGGCGGCCCGAGCCGCGATAGCGGCGGCGGCGGCGGCGGCGGCGGCGGGAGGGGCGGCCTGAGGGCGGGCGGGCGCCCGGGTGCGGGGGCTCCGCGCTCCGCCCGGCCCGTCCCGGCCCGGCTCGGCCCCGGCGCCATGAGCGGCGGCGGCGGCGGCGGAGGGGGCTCAGCGCCCAGTCGCTTCGCCGACTACTTTGTCATCTGCGGGCTGGACACGGATACCGGGCTGGAGCCGGACGAGCTGTCGGGTGAGTGCGCGCAGAGCCCGGGCTGCTTCCCCACGCCGCTTTGGCCGGGGACTCCGGAGGAAACCTCCTCCCAACCCCGCTTTGTCCCGGGAGCCTGGCGAGGGTCGGTCAGAAGAACCCTGAGCGGGCGCGAGGGAAGGGGACTTCGGGATGGAGGAGGGGAAGTGGGACGAGGGGCCCCCACTCCCCTCCGCGCGGTGGCCCTGTAGCAGGGAACGGGGAATACGGAAGGGTTGTGTGTTCTGTCTGGGGAAGGTTGAGTGACTTAGTATAAAAAAAAGGGAAACCTGTCCTCGAACACTCGTTGGGAGAGAAGAAAGCATCCACGTCCTAGTGAAAGTAAGTCCCACGCAGACTTAAAAAAAAAATAGAAAAGGAAGCAAAATAAAACTTGGTGAATTTATCTGGCCCAAGAATCCTGTCATAACATTTTCTCAAAACCGTTCTAATCCAGTCCTGGGTCTCCTGAGTTGATGGAATTTGAAGTAATAAAGTGAACTTGGGCCACACCAAGACGGGTGACAACTCCCTTAGTTCAAAAAAAGGCCTTGTACCCCGGGGCCATTACTTTTTTATGAAAAGCAATTGGTATCCTTTATGATTACCAAGGCATTTGTGAATAAAAGGGCAGGGCAGCAACCTAGTTGCAGGTCTAGTTTGCGTAGTGATGCTTCTCAAGTCATCTTTCGAAGGAGAAGTGGTGAGGAAGAGAAGATGGGGCCCCGATCAGATCTGGCAAAAATTGCAGAAGGGTGTCAGAATTGTAAAATCCCAGTGAAATCCATTGCACTGTCATTGGAGCCTTTGAATTGCAACAGTTTTGAAAAAAGTTTTTGTCTGGATTGTCCCATTTGCAGATTTCGTGGGCGGAGGTTTGTTCTGTCACTCTGATTTGATGAGGGATAACTCCTTTACAGTGTTCTGTCATGATGTATTCACTGTAAAGTGCCTAGCCTGAAAGTAATTATCCTGTTGACTAATTTTACTTTGCCTCTGAGATGATAGGAAAGTTTTTTTTTGTCACCAGAAAAATCTCCAGTATTTCTTACAAAAACAAAAATTTGATGCATACTTCAAATAACAAAAATAGACTTTCTTTTAAAAACGTGATAAATTGATGAACTTTAACAAGGTCAGAACAAATATACTAATTCTTAAATTAATAGCTGGTGGAGAAAAAAGATCACGAAGCAGTAATACAATTAATAGTACTCCTTTTGTTGGGATAGCTTTATTGTTTCAGCCTCACTTGCTTAGGTCTTCAAATTCTTACAATATCATTAAATTTGTCATCTGTGTTTAATTTTCATTAAATTTTTGACTTTGCGTTGCAGTTGTTGGAATTTAGTTCATCATATTAGAGATGGTAAGAGACGGAAATGAGGCCCAGGGAGGGCAGCAGGGCCTACATCCTCATAGTTAATTGCCTGACTTTCCATCCAGTGAGCAACTCTCCTGATACTAAACTGCATCTCATTGTAGGTCTGGTCTTTAGGAAACACTAAGATGTTGAGAAAGACATATTTCTCCTCTGTAAATAAAGGAAACTTTAAGGTGGTGGAATGCACTGGTGTTATTTTTATGCTGTGCTGTTGAGTATCTATTAAATTATATTGACATTTGATATGAGAAAATAAAGAGAATGGTTTGCAAATGATGCAGCATAGGAATGAAGCTGGGAAGTGATTTGTTAGTGAGTGCATGGGTTTTGGGGTTAAACATTACCCGTCTGCTATTGACTGTCTCTGTAACGAGGGGCAAGTTAGATAACTCGGCTTCGGTCTTTATCTAGAAAAAAAGAGAATGTAAATAAAAATCATCTCATCAAGCAGACCCTCAAAAATACTCATTCTCTTTTATTGAATATCTGTTCATTATCTGGATTTTCAGCGGGCTAAAATTACATCCCTGTGGAAGCTTATTAGGAGAATAAAGAAGAGGGGATGAGCTATTTAAAATGTGTAAAGTAAGGTATCTTTTTTGTCTTTTTAACTGTAGTTGCAATAGTGGAATGCCAAGACCATTTATTCAATAGGTGGCCTTTTTTAGAATAGGGCACTAATTGAAGGATTTCTTTCTCCCTTCATTTTAGTTTTGGTGGGTTGGTAGGGAAATCTGGACTGCCCAGAGGGAATCTTTGAATAAAACAAAACAGAATACAAATAGCTCAATGCGGGTCAGCCTTGAGACTCTCCAGGGTGCATTTTCTCTCCTCCGCCTGCCTTATAGCTCCCAAACTAATGATGTCATAGTAAGTGAAACTACAGGAAATTGTGAATTGCATACAGGTTCTCTAGGGAAGTACTGACGAGTCTATGTTCTCTCCAAGCAAATTAAGTTATATACTTCAGATAGCTTCATTCAAAAAGTGAATTTGAAACAAGGAAGTCAAAGATTCTCAATGTTCTTGTTTTGTGGAGGATTAAGATTCATTCCCTGGTTGCAACAATAAGCCATAGAGCTTACTGTGTTGAATATAGACTTAGATAATTGATTTTGTAGGAGTCTCTCCCGGTTTTCCTCTTCCCCTTTCTTGCACACTTACGCATTTAGGCAAGTCAGGTGGCTTTTTGTTGTATTGTGAAAATTTTGTTGTCTTTTCTGGTTATTTGAGGAAGTAGTTTGGGTTAGAAGGAAAAAAATGTAATCTATGGGTGAAGCACAAGTTTAGCCAACTTTAGGAAATGATACCTGCTTGCTAGCTCTTTAAGCTTCTCAGGTAGATAAGCAGTCTAGAAAAATTGATTTTGATTTATGTATTCCATTATTCTTGGCCCATTCTAAGTAGGAAGGCAGATAATAGTAGAATCCATTCCCTCTTTCCCTTTGATGAGTGGATGTCTTGGGCATCTTCATTTTCCCTTTTTATTATGGACACCAGTAGGTGGCTACAGGAAAGGCTTACCATGAGGTGGGATTCCTGGTTTAAGAATTCTTGGTTTACTTTCCCTGCCTTTGCCTGAGAGTTAAGGTTCCAGAATGTTTGCAATCTGTGTCTTCCCTTGCAATCTTTAAGTTCCTCTGAACTGACCCAGACCTAGCATTGAGATAGAAGTATTGTAGGTTCATGCATCCACTACTCCAGTTTTCGCAGGTTCTGAGCAGAGGGCCTTGTCAAAAACTGAAGAATCCAGAATAAGGAAGTGGGGACATGGATAGAGGGGAGACTGGCCAGTGTCCCATATAAGTCTACTTCGATTACACTGAAATCATCCTTTAATGTCACCCTTAGAAGAGAGAAAAAAATGCTCACTGGCCAGAAAAGCCAGAGGAGTGGTCAAAACATACTCCTCCTTAACCACATTGAGTAATGAAGTTAGAAGATCAGGATCATGGAATGTCAGACATGGAAGCATTTTTAGAGATTGTATAACCTTGACTTCTGATTTGACAGCTGAGGAAATAGGCCCTGAGAAGGTTGGAGAGTATTCCTTTTCTTTGCCCCATCTCATCCTTTTCCCTTGAGTGAGGCTTTGCATGCTTTGTAATAACCTGATGAGTAGTGGTGGACAAGTAGATTTGTCCGACAGGCACAGGAGCAGACGTTTTCCTAGTGCAGGTTTCTGTTTCATGTTAAAGAATACTTGCGTGATTGTCATGAGGTCTGTCTTATTTTTTTTTAGTTTTTTCTTTTGATATAATTTCATACGAAATACTGACATGAATAGTACAAAGAACTTCAGTACATCCTTTTTGTAGAGACACTGTTAACATTTTGCTCCATTTGCTTTATCACTTGTGTATGTTGTCTTTCTCTACTATATATAAACAACTTTATTGAGGTATAATCACATACCATATAGTTCAGTAGTTTTTCATATACTCAGAGTTGTGCAGTTATAACTACAATTTTAGAATATATTAATCACTCTTCCCCTAAAACAAATACCCATCAGCAGTCACTCCCCATTTCCTTCTAACTCCCTAACCCCCAGCTGTAGGCAACCACTAATATGCTTTTGGTCTCTATAGATAATTAACTATTCTGGACATTTCATATAAATGGAATCATATATGGTCTTTTGTGATTGGTTTCTTTCATTTAGCATGTTTTCGGTGTTCATGTTGTGGCATATACTAGTACGTCTTTCTTTTTATGGCCAAATAATATTCCATTGTATGAATATACCACATTTTATGTCTTCATCAGTTGATGGCCTTTTGGATTATTTATGTTTTTTGATTATTATGAATAATGCTGCTTTGAACATTTGTGTACATGTTTTTGTGTGGGCATATTTTCATTTCTCTTAGATACATACCTAGGTATGGAATGGCTGGGTCATATGACAACTCTATGTTTAACCTTTTGAGAAATTGCTGCTGTTCTTCAGAAGAGCTACACCGGTTTACATTTCCACTAGCAGTGTGTGAAGGTTCCAGTTTTCTCCATATCCTTCCCAACAATTTCTATCTGTCTTTTATAATAGGCATCACAGTGGTATCTAGTGGTTTTGATTTGCATATCCCTGATGTCTAAGAAGCATACCTTATTTAAAAGAAAAAAAAATTATCTCTTCCCAGAGATCAAGTGGCTATAAAAAGTTTGATGAGCCAGTTTCAAACAGGGAGTCAATATGAGCTGAACTTAATTTTTATTTTCTTCTACCAGTTTGGTCAATTCTGTGCAGATTCTCCCATGGTCATTTTATAAAGGTATCTATGCTGAAGCCCAGACTCCTAGCTGAAGCAGAACTCAAATCCTGATAGGTTACTTTGGGCATCTGTGAAACTTTTAGAAGTCAAGGTTGCTATAGCAGAAGGACATTTCCTAAGTTAGGTCATGTGTTTCCTTTATAAAATAGAACATAAGTCAAGAGGAGATCAACACACAGAAAGAATTACAGAGCAGCCCAAGGCAGTGTAAAATTACATGCTAAATTTAGTTGG